TCAGCTAATTACTACCTAAACATTTTATAGATCAATCTCGGAAGAAGCAACTCATGATATAGCAACCTGGTTTGCAATGGGGTAAATAACAATATAATAGTAAAAATCTAGGAAGAAGTTCTGCTTACCTACCCATAGTAACCGGCATGAGCATCAATTCGCTTTGGCTCACGGGAGTTCACCGAGTGCAGGACGGATTCGACAACGAACGTCTGCAAATGGTGCTGGTTAGACTGGATTCCTCCACTGTTAGAATTGCCCTGAGAAAGCAGGGCTGCTTCTAATGGGGCACTTGAATGGAGGTAGGCAGAATTGCACAAAGGCGCTAGATAGATCTCCCGAAGATTGACCCTCTCACAGCAGCTGAACAGTCTCTGGTATAAACAGCTCTTATCAGAGTTATTCTTTATTTCCTGGTAGCAATCAAGCCAAATGTGACGTGGTCGACCCGCGGCGGACCCACCCTATATGTTCGACGCAACCGTATTCCCTCCCTCCTCTGGCCATACTGTGGCCCCGCTTGAGCTAGATTCGAGCCGTTGCACTGGATCTGCCGAAATCGTAATACTGGAACCACAAAAAGCAGTTTTTCACATACCTGTGCATCATAGCCTATGAATATGCACATGTGCCCTAGTCCAAGGAGGACTATGCAGAGCAGTTCGAAACGGGATGGCGCCATTTGTGCAGCGATATGGCGGCCCTGAAGTAGATTATTACGGTAAGCGCGTTCGGTCCATTCCGTAACGACGGTAAGGCAAAAGTTTGGAAAGAGTGTGCACTAAGGAGATTGATAGCAATGACATCAGCATTCACATTCCGTAGGAAAATATCCAAGTGACTTAAAGGCAAGGTCCTGGGCTCAGTCTCACTCTGTCGTCGCTCACGTGGATAGAACTTTCTTGTGCCCAGTGTAGAGGTCGCGCCACATTCGCACATCGAAACGAGTTACTTGAAGATAAAGTTTCAATCAAGTCCCACCAAAGAGGGTCAGAACCCGCCCACGGTTCAGTTCTTGTCTGCGTCGCGTAATGGTCTGCTGTGCTTTCTCTGCTCACCATCGGTCTTCTTCACCGTCTTCGTGACTCACATTATCCATCTCGTAATGGAGCAAACCTAATCTTTAAGGCATCATCTTCAGTTAGATGATCTTTGGAGAACGTATTCTTTTCTTTGATTCTGCCCAGTTACGTGAATCTACAAAATAACCTACTGGTGCGGGATTCCCTCAATTCCGCACACAGTCCTCAGGGCTTCCAGGCCCGTATTCAGCGTGACACTTCGTAGAATGAGGCGCTCATCTCAAAATTGACTTCTCGGGATGGGAACTACGATTGGTGTGAAAGGACATGACCTAGTGAATTATTCTTATCCATTCATGGCCCCCTAATCAAAGCATTTGAGCTTCAGCATGTGGGACTTCAAGATCGAGTTTAGTTATGCTTGCCGGCATATGTTTGTTTTCACAGAAAAAATCGATCTCAAAACGAGATAAGGGGCATTCAAGGAGAATCGGAGATTTGATGCGAGATACTAAATTTTCAATCAATTTTGATAAGAAAGAGAAGAACAAAAAACGGAAAGGAAAAAGCCATGTTTCAAAATGGGCCATGAGGTAACCCATGTTATTATTGATCGTTTAAGCCAACATCTATCAGCTGTTGTCAGCGTACTCGTATTAGCAAATCATTCTTGAAGAAATCTCGAGAATCAAGGAGTCGAAGCTTTCTGATGATGCGCCATGAATATGGGGCGCTATTTGGTAGCCGCACATTCACCAAGACTGCAGTCACATAGAATCAGATCTAACAGTGAAGGAGGGGAGCTGGAAGCACTCAACTGGTGGCGGTTTGATTCTGTTCAGCACGGAAGCAGCGAGGAAAGCCGTTCAGCAACATTTTCGCCTCGGCTTGGGCATTGTCAGTTACACAAGGAAGGGCCTTTCAGAGTTTAGAGCGATTTCAATAGGCCTATTTTCTGCAAGAACGCTCGTGAGTGGACTACAAAACGGAGGTCCGTTCCCGCTGAGCGGCCCTGTAATGAAAGTGGCGAAGAAATCGCCAAGATTCAGTTTCTCATAAAGGCATTCTTCTTCTAAGGAGAGAAATAGGCCGGCTTTCTTCAGTTAGAAGCTCCCAGATTTACACCAAGTAGCGCCTGTGCCAAAAGTTGGTGTCGTGATCATTTCAGGACCATTAGCAACCCCTTACAGTTAGTTTTTTTTCCTGGAAAACTTTACACCCGGAAAGACCTTCCTTGTGAGCGTGGTGCTTATTATGGGCTATATCACTCAGGCAGAGGAATTGTCACGCGATTCGCAGAGTAATGATCTTTGGGACGGTTAGGAATAACTGTACGGACTAAAAACAATATAATGCAACCCTTAAAAGCAGATAGTCAGACTGACTCTACAGAATAATAGTTCCCACAATTCAAAACAATGTGCAGTGATAGAAATAGGACGATGACAGCCAGCGCCCAACTCGATATGAGGGGAAAACCCGTGCACTTTACAGCAGAGTTCGATAACATTGACTTTCAAATCGGGCTGGTTGAGGGCGTAAGGCAAGTGTTTTGTTCCTCTGCCTCAGTTCAGGGAACATGCAGATACGAGTGACCGAGAGGCTTTTTTGACCCATCGGGGGCTTGGGAGTTTTTTCTGGTGGGTGGGTGCTTAGCTACACTTGTGCTCATGATGATGGGAATTTCTGATGGACATTCCGCTAATCTGAACAGAACATGATTGCGTACACCGTAGAGTGTACTGGGCGGGACAGACAGAGCGCTAGCGCTATTCTGCCCTTTGTTCTTCGGTAAGAGGTCCTTTTCCAAGATCGCCCTGCAACGAACTCTGTGCACTATAGAGTGAAGAGGCATCCAATCTCTACGTAAAAAGATAGCCTTGAGGCAACAGTTTGAAATTTTTTGTCAGAACTGACGGGAAAGTTGAAGAATTCAACGAAAACTTTCTTTACTTACACTATTCTGTTAAGCTGTACTTTGGAAACGCTCCGGCAGAACGGCGTTCGCTATAAGCGGATCTGTACCGCAACTTGAAAATGTTTACATTGCTTAGCTGAGGCTGCTGTCAGAGTCGGCGATCGGCGATTCGTGCTACGGAAACAGAAATCGCAAGTGATCACAAGTGCTCCGATCAATACCGCGAGGTGCTCTCGAATCCCGCTGCTATTTCTGCTTGAAGGAGTCCTTCTAAGAAAGATCTCGCATCCCTCCGAACACGCATATGTCAACTGTAATCACTAAAGACAACATACAAAGTTTCACGCACAAAGATTCAGTTTCCGAAGACAAACCATCTTACAAAAACCACACTGTAACAATCGAAGAGCCAAAGGCGGGGCATGGAAAAAGGCCACGTATCAGGCGACGCAATGAAAGAATCGGTTAAAGCGTTCGATTTTGGAGAGTAGAGACAAATCGATCGATAGAATAGGATGCAGTAGAAGTGTGAGATGTGAATGCAATAAGTCAAAAGGCCAGAAAGAGTTTCTAGTGACGGCACTCCAAGAACCAAGTGGAAGCATTCCCGTCGCCAGCATTTGTGACAGATGTCCGGCGGTACTTTGAACGCGTAGCAGCCTTTCGTTTTTTTTTTACCAAAACAAATGCAATTTTTTGTTCTTTTCGTTCTTATCGTGAACGATGGGTCTCAAGCCAGTGAATTATGGGTGAGATAGAATCACGATTTTTCCGAGAAGGATTCCTTCTAATATTAAGAATGCATGGCGCATCCCATGAAGAGATAGAACAGCACCGAACGCTTCATCCCTTTTAATAAGGCTGTCTAGCGTGTGCAGTCACAGCAAAGGTGCCAAGGGCAATATAATGTGTTACTGAGAGATGCGCCATGCCCTCTACTTCCATTCGGAAACGTGAAGATGGCAGTAAAGTGCGCATTTATACATACAGGAGTGGTGGCACTGAGCGACTTGAAAGTCCTCGACAAGTGCACTAAGGTCCTGCACCGACCTGCCGTTCTTACTCATTGAAGGAGATGTGATGTCCACCACCTCGTACGACGTGGTCTCTTGTGCACCTCCTCTCGTTGTGTCTCTCTATCCCTGAATCATGGCCGACCTCATTGGAAAAGGAGGCACGAAGTAGATAGTTTTGGCTTTTTCCTCACATTTCTTTCACATTCACACATCCGGCGATCCTATTTGCACGTGTTGTTTAATTTCGGAAGCAGAATAAGACAGCAGTTCTACTGCGACCTGTACATTGAAGTGTGCTAACTATTATAGTCCCTGTTCTTTGAGATCGTCCAGGCCAGGTCCAAGTACTCTCTGGAACCGAACCTTTATGTGTTTTCGCACCTATATGTAGTCCAAACAGCCGTGTACTTCCACAAAATTCACAATGATATCAGGTAGACGACTACTCGCGCCGTGCGCAATCAGTTTTTCATGTGCGAGTGGAAGAATTGGAGGAAACGTTAGAAACTGTTACATGTACAGGATATGGTGCGCATCTTTGTTGTCTATGTGAGTTTACCAGTTTCAACCTAGTGAAGACCTCAATGATTCTGCCTCATATTTTCTTTAAGGTCGTTGTTTCGGCATTGTTTTGCGTCGGAGGAGCGGCTAATGGTACGTGAGTAGTCAGAGACTGATAGATTTTTAGACAAGTTTTCCCAAGAGCCTTGGCGCTTTTGTGCTGATCGATGATCGAAGCTTTCAACGTGAACAAATATAACAATATATTTTCTATTCTCGTTCCCGTGGTGCGCTATCAAAGGTGTTATAGGGCGCCGAAAGCGCCCCAGAAACTCCTCTGTTTCTCAGACACGCCCACTGCCGACACCAGCACACTAGAGAAATTATCGATGCGTGGATGAGTGTGGAATGAAAGCCTCATTGTGGCACTGGGTCCACTAATTTCATGCTCATCATTGCTTTCACTTTTTCTTCTATGGGCTATACCAATATGCTGAAACCACTTGTCAAAATACTATATGATGTAATATGAAAAAGAGAATGGGCGTGGCCAAATTTCGCTTGGGGTAGAATGTGTACGAACACTGGCGCGATACAGAGGAGAGGCCTTTCATTTCGCATGCTGCTTTCATCTGAGTGAGAAAGAGCAACCCGGGGAAGGCTGCTCTGCATATGATATAGGCAGCTTTGACACTCCCCGAACCTTTTTCTCGTTCAAATTTTTATTCGCTTAAAGTGGATTTTTGGCTTCCCTTGTTACCATTGCGTAGTTATGGTGGAGTGGGAATGTGGAACGAATTTTGGTGAAAACCCTTTCATGCAGCTTTGATGTTCCGTGCTTCCGAGATATTACTGCCATGTAGCTCGTGCTTTCAGTCACTAATCACTCCCGCACAGCAAGCAAACGCGTGATTCCGCCACAGCGATTTCGAGTTCAAAGTGAGTGCTTGGAAAATTACTCTACCATTGTTATTTTGTTTCTTCTCATGTTTTAGCATCCAAATGTAACAATAGAGAGATTGACGATGCAACTCGTAACGCCTACCTCGATCAACATAACGAGTACAGGTAAAACATGTGGTATTAAGCTTCAGCCGGAAAAGAACTTACTTTTGTAGGTAAACCAAAACAAACCGAAGATTTCATATCGTCTAGCCAAGGGTAATCCGTCTAGTAAGTATGGGAGATTAACGACACGTTCCACACTTAAAACAAATTCCAAGAT